AATTCTTCTCCAAATACACATTATTATAGGGATGAATGAATCCCCAAGGCTTTAGGAAATTTATACAACTGTCAAACTCATCATTCATACATTGTTACTGGTGGAAATATGCCCAGAATGCTCTTTGCTCCGTTCTGATCCCTCAGAACGGTAGAGGCCAAATACAAGTAGAAAGGGAGTGGAATGATCACTACAGTAAAGGGTGTATTTGCACAATTTTAAGATGAATTTTGAAAGTGAGCTGGATAGTGTAATCTTGTCAGAAGTTCATGATGTACTTTAAGAATACCCGTGTGGATTTACATAACTGCTGTCCAAGTTTCACCCCCACATGTTCTGCTAGGTAAATATGTTGAAATAATAGTGCAGTTCCAGAACACTGAAGTGTTTCGGAATATTGTAGAAGGATTATAGAGGGGAACGTTGTGCCTCAGTGGCCTTGTTAGATTGGCTCGCAGTCTTAGAGAAAACTGTTGACACTTTTGTACTTCAGAGATATGTTTGTGCGTAATCAAAAGTCAGTGGCCAAATATAAATGTTGATGCCATTGTTTATTTTGAGCTCAGAAGAGGTCCTAGGAATTGCATTTTATTTTTTTAACACTTTGCGCAAAATTTTGAAATTTCAGCTCAGCTGTGGCTCAAATGGTGATTTTAGTGTCCTGATGGAGCATGTCTATGTTACTGTTTTACTGTTGTTCACATATGAAAGACCTCCTCAAGCTGGTCTCCAGTACACTCGTCTGCAGTGAATGATGCCTTGTTTCCAACACATGTTATTTTGTCTCAAACAAATCTTTAAAAGTTAAAATTTCATTGTCTTCTTTAGCTTTGGGTTGTTTGTGGTTTACAGTTGAAGGACCATAAATGAAAATACATGTTTGGGCTCCATAAATTTCTTTGCCATTTATGATACGGAAAACTTTGTAGGCAAAGCTTGCAACTGGAGAGTTTTCTTGGTGTAGAAACATTCGCCACTGGGCAGACAGCTGCCAAACATCTTGCAATTAATCTGACGCTTGTTTGGCTTTCATATTCTTTTCCTTTCAGAACCAGTGCCCTGAGGCAGAAGAATTGGTCTTCAGCCATTTTGTAATCTGTAATGACACACAGGAGACACTGCGGTTTGGCCAGGTGGATACTGACGAAAATGTTTTGCTGGCTAGCCTCCACAGTCACCAGTACAGCTGGCGCTCTCACAAGTCCCCGCAGGTATGTCTGCGGGGGGGGGGGGAACCCTACAAGTGCAGTGATTGTTAAAACTGGGTGGTGTTTTAATCATTGGTTCTGTTTTTTTAATTCATGCATTCAGCTATCTTTAGCTTTCCAGATTCCAGCTGGAGTCCACACGCTTTAGCTACAACCAGACACTAGAGATAAACAAAAAGGATGAGGAAACCCAGAAGTGTTTAGATTTAATTCAAGTTTGGAACTGAACACCCCTCACCCCTTTCCAATTTGAAAAATAAAACATTCCTAGAACGTCAGGCTTCTGAACCAAAGTACAGCAATAACGTTCCAGGTTTTTAAGAAACTTCCCTTTTTTGTCTCCAAGTTTTGGAAGTTGACTCTTAACATTGTGGGCACAAGTTCCTGCTTATTAGACTATACATTGATAGGAAGTGGCAATGTCAAAGTGGTAGGAGGGAACTGCCAAATCGTGGTCTTTGGTATCATTTGGGTGATCTGCTCCTTTCTTCCTTACAAACATTGATGCCGTCCCCTGACTTAGTTGTTTAAAAATCCTACATAATTCACATGAATTCTTCACATAGATATTAGCATGAGGCGTCTACATGTGATTTGCACTACAGTTGCCTCTGACTCTGGTTTCATAGTGTATGGGTGTACATGCATTTAAAAAGCTTCACGTGGAATTATCGCACCTTAAAATTTAGCAGTGGGTATTGTATTAGTATTAGTCTTAGGAGCTGCGGTAGCTCAAGTGGTTAAGATGTTGAACTGCAGGCTGTGGAAGGTCGGTAGTTCAGCAGTTCGTGACCCAAGTGTGCTCCAGTCTCAGGTTCCAGCTCCTGCCAACCTAGCAGTTCGAAAGCAAGAAATTGCAAGTAGATAAATAGGTACCACTTCAGTGGGAAGGTAACAGCGTTTCGTGCGGCTTGGTGTTTAGTCATGCCGGCCACATGACCACGGAAACGTCTTTGGACAGCGCTGGCTCTTTGGCTTTGTAACGGAGATGAGCACCGCAACCCTAGAGTCGGACTCGACTGGCTTTCGAGCAAGGGAACCTTTACCTTTTATTGTATTAGTAGCTTCATAGGGCTAATTCCAACACAGTGTTTTCCTACAACTGAGAAACAGTAACAAGAGCATGCACATGAGAAGTATTGTAAAGATGTAAAATCATTCCGATTCATGTCTTTTCCTAAGAAGAAATATCAGAATCAGTTTTTAAGTCCCTTCTAGGAAGTGACTAATCCTACTCTGACAGTTGCATGGGTGCTTTTGCTAGCATACGTGTTTCTCTTTTCAGCTTCTGTGGCAGAAAATCAGTCTCACTTGAAGTTTTTCACCTACTAGAATGTGTTCTATAAAGAGATGTCAATTTATTGCAAGTGCCTGGATCAGAATTAGGAATCTACTACTAACCCATAGGTGGCCTCAGCCACAATAAAAGGCACAGACAGAATGCACCTCCAATAGGTAACCTGGATATAGATTATATCCAGAGGTCCATGAGTGGCTATTAGCCACAAGGTATAGATAGGGACTCTGGGGCAAGTGATGCTCTGTCATCTTGGTGCTTGGGGGGGTCAACAGTGGGAGGGCTTCTAATGTCCTGGCCCCACTGGTGGACCTCCTGATGGCACTGGTAGTTCTGGCCACTTTTTAATACAGAGTGTTGGACTGGATGGGCCTTTGGCCTGATCCAGCATTGGCATCTCTTATGTTCTTATGTTCTTACTAGCAGTAAAGCCCGTTGTGAAAGCAATACAACGAGATCTAGAAAGAGGCTCTAGGGCAGTGCTCTGGCTTTGGGCAAACAGTGTCAATTTGCTGTGGTGACCTCAGCAGGATATAATGACAGAGTCCACTGTTTTCTCCAGAGGAACTGATCTCTGCTAACTGAAGAGCAGTTGTAATTGTGAGTGATCTGTAGCCCTCACCTGGAGATTGGCAGCAATTGTTACCCAGGACAAAGTGGCTGGTTTGGAGGGTGTAGTCTATGGCATTCTACCTGTCTGAGGTCCCACCCCTCTGCAAATCCCACCCTCTCCAGGCTCCACCCCTCAAATCCCCAGAAATTTGTCAGCATGTAGTTGGCAACCCCATCTCCTTCCCAGCTAACCATCAACCTACCATTATCTGCCCCCCTTTGACTTCAGCTGACTTCTGCCCTCCCTTCTGCAGAGCAGTTGTAATACTGAGTGCTCTCCAGCCCTCACCTGGAGATTGGCAACAATGGTTCCCTATGTGGGACTGACTGGTTTGGAGGGTGGAGTCTATGGCAGTGTACCTGTCTGAGGTCCCACCCCTCCTCAAACCTCACCCTCTTCAGGCTCCATCCCTCAAATCTCCAGGAATTTCCCATCTGGAGTTGGCAACCCTATCAGGACTGGCCCCAATGTGTTTTCTCCCAAAGGCCAAAGTAGGTGACAGGACCAAGCTTAGTTGCCTACCAACAGGCACTGAGGGGAATGTAGGGTTGCCAGCTCTAAGGAGGGAAATACCTGGAGGTTTGGGGGGTGGATTCTGTAGAGGGCAGCATTGGGCAGGGGGGGCGGAAGGACTCAGCAGGTATAATGTCATAGGGTCTACCCTCCAAAGCATCCATTTT